CACATATGAACATACCCAGCAAGAACTTTGATTCTTAAGTAAGCGCTTACTTTTTGTATCGATGCAGTAACGCATTGCAATACACGCTTCAAGGCAAAATTTTTCACTTTCTCGCTTAGCTCCAATGGCATGCCTAGGTTAAAGTAATGCGTTCTGTAAACTAGATGGTGAGTGGTGAATCTCGATCAATTAAGCACTTTTCGAAACTCACCACATACCTTTTAGTTTACGCATTTACTTTAACCTGCACCCTAAAAAACTACCACTTAAACGTGTTTAGATTTCAACCAAAACCTGTGGAAATATACGCACAAGATTTGATTTTCAACATGAGATTTTTAAAAAATACACATAAATATACGCATGAAATCTTTAAAGTTGTAAAAAAATTTTAAGTAAAAATATATATTTTACAAAAAGTAATAATAATCAATAAGTGCTCATATTTACACAATTTTAAACACTTTGTGTGTAATTTTTCTATACGTGACAAATTTTATATGTAAAAGTAAACAGACAGTGTTTAATTTTGCAAACATTAAGAGAGGAAACTGGTTACCTCTCTTTATATGCGTAAATTTAAAAAAAAAAAAATATTTAACAAATTTTAAACATTTCATGTGTAAACTGTGAAATTTTGATCAATAAATGTTTAGAACTCAACAAACAAATTTTAAATTTGTTCTACGCCACACATATCGCACACCTCTGATCTAAAGTGAGCTAACTCGAAATTCATAGAGAGAAATTTAACTGCTTGTGAATCGTACAGATTCAATGCAATTAATATAAAATCAGGTATAACACTAGCTTTTAGTTAATTCGTATAATCATGAAAACAAAATTACTTCCATTAGTTGGATGCAAGTCCTATGAATTGATTTATGCAAAAAAATGGTCAAACACTTTTTTTTTACACCCAGAGAAGGAATCCAATTATTTGATCTTAGCATTTCCGAACTTAAAATCGGAATTAAGAACATGCAAGCTTTAAAAATTAAGTATGTATCAACGGTGGGCAAACGTGGCTCTTTGAGCCAAATGCGACATGCGAAATTGCTTAGCAAAGTGCGGCTCTTTTTTTTACTTTCTCCTTGCTTAGAACATGTTGGCTCTTTTTACTTTTTAAAATGCATATTTCTTTGTTGGACATTCTTTTCCATTGTGTTATTTTTTATTTTTTTGTATTATTATTTTTATATACATAAAATGAAAGGTGTTTGGTAAGCGTTTCATCATCTTAAAAGGTTAGAACCTCCGAGTTAACATATAAGTTCAGCTTAAACTCTTCCTAAATTTTTTAAGAAACTAAAAATATTACTACTAAGACTGGGACTATACGTATATTCCGATATTCGTGCATATGTACACACATACATTGGCGCATATTTACACAATATGTTTATATTTGGCCGAGGCTTCTTCTTCGATTTGTGGCGTGCGTCTCGATGTTGCCATACAAATCGTAGGGACCAACAATTTACAACTCCGAATGGTGATTGTATTTCTATTAGAAACTGTTTTTCATGGCAGAATACCCTCGGAGGTTCGCCATGGACTGTCGAGAGGCGGGCGCTATTAGAAAGATCTTTTTTTATTTTATGCTGTTTGTCGGAAGCTGGGCTTGAAATCAGGCTCTGCGGAATGGTGGCGCGCACTGCTAACCACTACACCACTACGGCCGCCTATTTTTCATGGCAGAATGCACTTGGAAATCGCACCCATGCGTAAATGCTGTTTTGATTGGAAACGGAGTGGAGATTTTCTTGTGCACTACGCATACTTATGTGTACTCAATATCCTTCTCCTGAAGAGAAAAAAGGCATTTTATGCAAATGGTAAAGACATATATGATTGCACCTAGATATTACATAAGTACATGAGTAGCAATACCTTGGAAACAGAAAATGCACGCGACCCTGGATTTGAAGAATTTTGCAAAACAATACAGTACAGCTTTTGTTACACTTACACATTTCGCATAAGCTTTCTGGAGTTAAATATCCATCTGTACATTGATCATGCTCGTTAACAATCGATGTAGATATTGGCAAAAGATAATGGCTAGGGTGGAAATTTGTCTACATAATTTTGAAAAACTTTGAAATCAATTTTGACGGACAACATAGAACCGGCAAATCTTACAAAGAAATGTTTAAAAACTGATAATCACAAGGAATGTTATCGTACTAAGAATAATAACACTAAAGCTAAAAAAAGCGATTCTAAAAACAAATTGGATAGTGGCGTCGGGAGAACAAAAATCAAATTAAAATTCGTGATGCAGTGCAATTTAACGTAAATTTGTTAGAATCACACTTTGGTAAGCAAAATACGCGCAATCACTTCAGTCAATTTTTAAGGAAAACTGAGGGTGATTGAATAAAACTAACTAAAACTATGAGGTTCATATGCGGTTAGGTAGTAGTATCTACATAAAAAGAAACACTTAATTTTGTTTAACCAAACCACTGTTTATCACTGTTTTTTGTGCATCTCATTCTGCGTCGTAAAGCTTTTATTTGCATATTTTGTGGTGAAAGTAAATTGAACAAATTGTAAAAGTTTTATTGAAAAATGGCATTTGCATACATGGCATCATATTTATATAATACTGGTCAATAATTTAACGGCGTAGACTCGCGAAATCGATAACTTTACGGTTCCTTAAAATCACGTTGCTGGCGCGATCCAATTCTGTTTCCCCAGTTATTCCTCTTTGCACTTTTCGCATATTTGGCATTTCTCTCGACTGAGATGTCACATTTTATCATTTTAAACAAAAAGAAATAATCAGCTGTTTTTCGCTGTTAAGCAAGAGTTACGGCCATATTATTGATACTCCGAATATGGAGGAATAAGGCAGAATAAGATTATTCACGGAATAGAGGAGAATTAGTTGGAATAAGTCTATTAATGGCGCACAGAATAAAACGAAATAAGGCAGCAACATAATTCTTTTATTAAATGCAATGTTCCATCTTTAGATTAAACCTTATTGTGCTCTGTAGGTTACATTTCTAGCATTTTCGCTGAAAATTTGTAATGAGTAAAATAATTCCACTACAACCGTGTCCGAGTTTCTCAGTAGCTTCATGAAAGTCAATTCTGAGCAGTTTTGGCAATTAAGCGCGGAAAAAAATTATTTCCAATACCTTCAAACCCCTTCTATTAAACGCCATTTAACAGCGTACAACAATCAATTTAACTCACACAAAAATTAATATGTATATTCACGAATCTCGAAACCAAATGTAGAAAAACTGGGTTTTTGGTTTTTCTCTCTGACGTCAGAATTTGTTTAAGGACTTTGAAAGTTCAAGGATGTCATAAATTCAAAAATGATTAATAAAATTCAGTACAATGTAGAATAACAATATGGGTGTCAAATAAAAAAGAAAGTTCTGCTAAATTGAAAGAAAAATTTATTTTTTTTTAGCTGTAAACTTTTAGGCCTAGTCCAATAATGGTGTTTCGAATTTTAAAATAATTAAATTCTAAAAAATCTTGTACAATTCATCTCAAACTAAGTCAAATCAGATGCATTTATCAAAATCATAAAAATACCACATTGCACACACATACATATTTGCTAAGGTATTTTACTTTTATTTTACGACAAATCCACATCGCGCAATCAATTGTTATCGTCTTGATCAAACGCTTGGATACTCGTACATGGCCTATGAGTAACAATATATTTCATAAAAATAATCATTGAATTTACCAATCGATTACGCGAAAGTGAAAAGCCGAACCGCAATACTTTCCACTGCAATTGTGTAGAGAATTTTTTCCTCTGCACTGCGGTATAAATATTAATCTTTTTGATTACTGTATGGATTTGAAGCAGGCAAAGTTCTTGACGTTGAATTGGACAATATTTGTTAGCTTTCCATGTATTTAAAAATTCAAAAATTAATGATAATTAAAAAACTTTATACTATTTTGACACTCCGAATGTCAATTCCTCTCTTCCGAAAAACTATTGGGATAAATATTTATTCCTCTGCCCGAAAGGTATTCATCGCTATTTCATAGCGAATAATTTACAAAAAAGCTATTCTGCCGTCGCTCGAAATTGCTCAGAATAACTAAACCGTCGAATGAGGAGGAATAACGGCAAGTAAATAATATGGACGTTAGAGAATTACACAATTGTTAGTGCAAACGGCAAAAGAGATTAAGCAACATTTTCATGTAACAAAGAAAAAATTTAAAAACGAACACATTTTTTGTAATTTTATCTTATTTGGGTTAAGCTTGGTGGATAAATAATCCATATGAATAATTTTAGTATGAAATAGGGGCAGGAAATAAATGTTACTCAGACGCCATATCGTACATGGCCGAACTAGTACATAATCGTATATAACGTATGAGTAACTTTTTCCAAATTAAAAGTTGAATTTTTGTTTATGCGCCGTGCAAACTTAAAATAAAAAGATCTTGGGAAAATTAGCTGATCTAAGAAAGGGTATACAGATCCGTAATCCACGACTCAAAGTAAAGTTTACGTACCTCTATGCTTTTTTTGTGTGTTATTGAAGCGTCCCTACAGTGTAGGTAATATAGTTAAGTATTTTATAGAGTTGAAAATAGCATTTGCTATTTCTTTGTTGTTTAAATTATTGTTGCTTCAAATTATTGTTGCTTTTCCCTCAATAAGTTTTCATTAAAAAATGGCCTCGAGCTCAATAAAAATTGTTGAATATAATTGTTATAAGGCGATAAAATAACAAAAACAAATAAAGAAGTATTAACACAAACCAACAAAACCAACGACCACGTGATCAAGAAAATGTGGTGATTTCCCAAATAGCTATCACTTCTACCATTTTTCAAATTATTGTTGCTTTTCCACAATAAGTTTTCTACAATAAGTTTTTCATTAAAAACGGCCTCGAGCTCAATAAAAATTGTTGAGTATAATTGTTATAAGGCCATAAAATCACAAAAACAAATTAAAGTTTTTTTGCCAAAATTTTCTCTTATTGCAGGTTGTACCAGCATGGCATGCGCCCGAACATCATTCCATACCGGAAATCATTTATACTCAACCACCAAAGGGTCACCCTTCTACTTATCTACACGGCGCACCGATACACGAGACCTACGGCCCATATTCGCTAGAGCACAATGAGGGTAACTGGGAAAATTCAGGACCGGGGTTGGGATCAGAGTAAGTAAAGACTTTAAAAAGCGTGAAAAACATTTTAATTATAAATGTAAAAACTAAGAAAAGAAGCATAGGTAAGAAGGATTCGTACGCGTAAGTTAATATAAAATTATTAAAATTATGGAAATGCAAACTATTAAGATCTTTTTTTCTATTCGTCTCACATCACCATCACTCAACTTTGAAATTTTTTATACACCTAGAATAAGTATAAACGTTAAACTTTTTCAATAAATTTCTTTTAAAAACAAACAAATATATGTACATTAGACCGTAGCAGAAAAAAGTTCGCCGCCCCTGAGTCTTATAAGGACTGCACCCACCCACTTGCCGGGAT